TGGTTGCCGGGTCTGCACCATTTGGTGCCAGGGTATATCAGGCCTCCTCCTGGTTTTTGGTTCTGATAAAGTAAATTTTCATGTAGTTTTGGGATTGTCCAAGAATAATAACTGCAAACGAAACAAAGATGACGTAATGAAACTGTTATTCGTGTGATGGAAAACATATTGTATCGCAAGGTTGATGTCGATTTGAGTCCAATCCTGAGTTACTTCGCTATGAAACAGTAGAACACTGTTCATGATGACAATGTATTCTATCTTTTATGTTTCGTTTCCAGTTCAAGAGTGGAATAGAAGTGGAGCACACAATACCGTAATGTTTGAATGAGATGATTGAATAATAGCTTCTATAATTAGAGAAGAAGTTGAAGGTTTGGCGAAGCTCTTACTGAAGGATCGAAAACATACTTTTCCCTTATCGCGAGAGGCTTTGCAAGTTTCTACAAGGTCTGCGACGAGATTGCTGGACATTTGACGGACTTTCTTTGGGTCTGCGCTGAGGACCATGCTTTGTATGACGCCACGATCGGTGTATAGAGCACAGAATGGCGCGTCCGCGATCAGTTCCACCATTCTGGACATGGTGGTGTCCGCTACCAACACGCTGGACTGAGCTGCAGCGTGCCAAAGCGTTGGCATCAGTATCAACAGAATCGCGAGCATCTGCAAGCAGAGAGATTAATTAAAAAATAAGCGGATGTTTATGTATCGGGTTGTCCGCAAAGTCCATGTCGATTTTTGGTAGGTGGTACAGGTCTGAATATATCGAAGTGGTTGAAAACAAATAACATGTACACATCCCTTAAAAAGTGGAATGGTTGTGGAACAAAATGGCACCTATGTAATTCAATAAATATATATTAAAAGTCAAACGTGTTTTTGAATTTTTCTTAGAAATTGGCACAAACTTTCTGAACAACCTAACAAATTCATATTTTCATATATCCAGATTCAGAGAAAACATTGAAAAGATTGAAAATTGATACTTTAAATAAAAGTATGTCTTATCTTCTAAACAGTTTAACAAGTATTTCATCTTGAATATTTTATACATTTTTGTATTCGTTCAACATTTTGAACTAGTTTATTTATCTTCTGATTCTTTAATAAGAGTGTCATCACCTGCAACCGTGGCCAGTAGGTCAATGATTCGCAAATGTTTCGCAACATTTGAGTATCTTCGCACAGACCACTCGGGTCTGTTGAAGTTATTGTTGTTTTAACCGCATTTTCACTTGAACAAACAATTGAAAACACCGGAGATACGACACGTTCTCTAACGATATATGATATTTGCAGTCCTTCTGGGCAATGCAGCCTTCAAACAAATATCAGTTTCGAAGGAAGTGTTGTAATTGCGTAATGGTTCAGAGGAAGTCTCCCCCATGGGGTGTTCGAACGGCACGGGGCTTCCCATGATCCAGGACCAGGCGAATCTACGTCACGACGTCACGGATCTAATGAGAACTGATTGCGTTACGTGACAGAACAGCGTGACGTTTTTTTTTTTTCTTAATCTGTCATTAATCGTTGCTCGTTGAACGCCATATATGAACAGATTGCCCCGCAGGAATTCCGGTCGCTTTAACGAGCCAGCTCGGGGGGTTGGGATCAATTAAACGTCGTGAATCGAATCGAGTTGCCGCGAGTATGGCGATTCTGCTCGAGGAATCCGTCTCGAGAATTCTCGAGATTTTTTTAGTGAATTCCCATTTCTCTTTCGGCAAGGAATCAATTTAAAAATATTCTAGGATTCTCGAGTGCTGAACGAAGTTGTTCAATCTCGAGATATGTTAGACCAAATGTGTCATAAAAGAGTTTTACTTGTTTAATAGGTTATTCCCAAATTAAAAACGTGCGATGACGATTTCCTTTTGGGTAATTACAGAAACGAGATCTGCGTTTACTTTCCAACCTTGCTCTATATGTATCAATGACGATTCTATTTCCTCCATTTCACCGCCATCAAATCATTCATTCAATGAAATAATCCCAACAAGCCAGTCAGATCAAGTTCAGCGTGCACACACTAAGATCCGTCGGCTCGCCTAAGAGTGGCTTGTTGAAAGAAAACATATTCATGACACACATTATATTCGCAACATCACATGGAATACACGTAGACAAGAAATTAATTGCAAGAAGAAACTTATTAATATACCTGATCGTTGGTACATTAACGAAAAAAGAAAAATGGAAAGAATGAATGAATCGAACGAATCAGCAATGAAAAGAACTATTTCTAATCGCACCATAAAAAATTCAAAACCACTTACAGCTATTTACAAAAATATCCACGCACTACAAAAGCAATCCGCCGAATTTAATCAAGAAATTAATTGCAAGAAGAAACTTATTAATATACCTGATCGTTGGTACATTAACGAAAAAAGAAAAATGAAAAGAATGAATGAATCGAACGAATCAGCAATGAAAAGAACTATTTCTAATCGCACCATAAAAAATTCAAAACCACTTACAGCTATTTACAAAAATGTCCACGCACTACAAAAGCAATCCGCCCAAGTCTCCGCTTCCCACACTCCAAGACCTCGTCTCTTCACATCACCCTGAATTTATTCGTCTCTCATGCAAATATCAAAAAACTACAGGAACATGTTGTATCTTCGTGGATGAAGGCATAATATTATTATTCAAATAAAATTTTGCCCATTTCTGACATCCACCCACGCGAACTTCGAAGCAGCTTAAACTTGAAACGTTTCGCGCCGCGAACAGTCGCTGTGAAGTGACTCGACGACGGGGGACGTCGAACGTCGTCTGACGAAAAAAGAAGAAAACTTGGAAACGCGATTAAGAGTCGCAAGAGGTGCCGCGTGTGATTAATAGAGGAGACTAAATGTGACGCGAATATTCGAGGCGACGAGGAGGATGGACGCGAGGCGACTGATGGTGCTTCACCTTTCTAAAGGACTGTTTCTAAAGATTTCATCAAGGACGATGTCTGGCAAGGAGATAAGGAAGAAAGACCTAAACGCTGAAGGTTTCGTACCGGTTGTCCTTCCGATCGAAAGCGATTCGAACGATCAATCTTCACGGGGGGACGTAAACGCGTGACTTCCGGTTTCATCTCGAGCGATTGTGACAGAACGGTGAATAAGATGACTCGAAAGAATTTTTCGGAGATCTCTTGTTCACTACAGAATCCCTCAACAAGTTTAGTTAATAAATGAAATTTGTTAAAAATGTGATATTATAAAACTTCAAACGAATATAACTTCTAAATTACACGTGATTTTTCTGGTAAATTATTAAAATTGCAATTTATTACATATCTTGTTCACTGATTGAAGGTAGCAGAGGTGATAATAGAAATGATTTAAACAGATCTTGACCTAAGACATCGGCGTCGTCCTTGCCACGAGGATAACGCGTTACATCATCGGGAAATTGCATTATGAATATTGACACGCAATTGAAATGGTCATTTGCATATTTAAATGGTTAGAATAACTGAAAGGCGGAGAGCACAAGTACGAAGGTTAACACCGTCCTGAGGATCGTGTATCTGAAAAGGAACAAGTGCCCGGTGAACGATGGGCAACGACCTTGCGAATGTCTAGGAGAGTCTCGAGACACGAATACGATTTTAAATGGCTTTTAAATAACCTTCGGAGATTGCGGCCGATAAGACGTGAGAAATCGACGGAGGCGTTTGTTTATTCGGAGGTATCTGCGTAGTGGATTTTAAAGCGTTTGCGTAAATCGGTACGTGGGATGCAAAATGAATAATCAGGATTCTATGAACTCTGTTCAAGGCTAGAGAGGACGATGATCGTGAAATTTTTCGAATTCACGCGAGTGGAAAATTTGTGCAGAGTTCAAATTAAAGATGCAGGTCGTAATTTTGGTTTGACACAAAAAAAAAACCAAAAGAAATTTTCACTTTCGTACATTTTTCTTTCATGTAAACTAAGGAAAACCCGCAAAAATGGTGAAATGTGAAATTACTGCAAGTTTGAAAAAAAAAGAACGAGTTCTTTGGGTGAAAAAATCACTTTAACTCGATAAAAACGTTATTTAAAATTTTTTTGTATGACTTTTCTTAGTTCACATAGAAGAAAAATCGAAAATACGAAATCGAAATCGAAAATCGAAAGTACGAAAATGAAAATTTCTTTTGATTTTTTTGTGTCAAACCAAAATTACGACCTGCATCTTTCCCGCCGATAGGAGGTTTTAATTGTGAGGTGCTCTACAAATGTGCGTCGCAGTCGACTCAATTTGAATATTTCTTGTTGAAGAAATTTGTACAGACTACTCGAATATCTATGAGAATAGGATTCTTTTCCATCTTAAAAAAATCCACGTAAAAACCGCTTTTTTTAGACCTCCTAATTCAGGATACCCCCTTAAGTGTCTATCGATAAAGCATAGAGAACTAGGAGGGCGTCCAATCGTAAATTCTGAGTAACGAATAAATATTCGAACTGAAAATAATCCACCAAGAGCAAAGACTGGAAGTACCAGTGGGGCCATTAGTTTTCGTGCTCGTCGTGCGCTGAACCGCTGTCATGGAGTAACGTAACTGATGGAACGAGAACGATAATTTAAAATTAAGTTGCGATCAATTTAAACTTAAACAACGATACGCGATAACGTTCTCAGATCGATAGGGAATTAATTCAATTAGCCCGATTAGATCGTCCCAGTTCGGGAGGGGCCGATCCTGGAAGTGTCACGCGAGGCGACCCACCCTCCAAGTTGCGAAATTGAAGCAGATATCGAGAATCTGGGTCAGCAGGGCTCGCTGACGAACTTGTCTCTTGAACCTGCGAACCATATCAGCCATACATAGACACAACCCTATAACCGTCGCGAATTAACTCGTACTCGACGACTCTGACCCACCTTCGACGCTCTGAGGGTCACTTATGCATCGTTATCATCGTCTAGCACACTTTCGTTCTCCACCCTCTATCCCCATGAATTTTATTAAGAAAGTATTTACTGATTATTTGTACATTAGTGAATTGATTAACCCTTTCACTGCCAACTACGAGATGTCTCGTAGTTCAAATTGATTGCAAAAGAAGATCGTACATTTTCTTTTTAAAGCAACAAACTTGATATCACTTTCTATCATCAATATAGTAAACTAGATCTGTATTCAATCTTGATGCCCAAGGCGCAAAACGCTTCAAATTTGCCTGGCAGTGAATGGGCTAACCTCCGAGGCAAATAATGACTGGAATCTTCAGATTTGTGTTTCTAATATTTTAAGTAGAGTTTCAGGATAAGCTAACGACGCTGACTGGCAGCTCGTTAACTACGATAAGCCAGGTATTTTACTTTCAACGAGTCATTTTCGAATTAGCTTTCTACAAATGTTATTACTAGACTGCGGATCTTTGTGCAAAATAAAATATTCGCGAACGTGGCTACAAATGTTATAACACGAACTTTACTTTCAATCTTTTTTCCATTCTTTCATATTGTTTGCACTTTGTAGGTTCTTGCACATTCAAATTTCCTATAAATGCGTAAAGACCCGCAGTCTAGTTATTACTATTTCTCCATATAAATCATTCCCGAAACTTGGAGTCTCATACCTTCTGTAAAATACTTTCTGACTAGAATACGTAAAAGCAATATATAACAATATGTACAATATGATAATACTGAAATACTGCAATAAACAACCTAGGGACCTAATTTCGAATTTCACTCCTCGCTCGAAAAAGAGAAACCAATATTTAAAAAAGAAGTGAATTTCGAATTTCACTCCTCGCTTGATAAAGAGAAACCAATATTTAAAAAAGAAGTGAATCGAGGATGATGAGCAAAGCTATTAAAATATGCAACAGCTGCTTAAAAATGAAAAGCACAGAATCCCCCTCGACACAGCAATCACTGTCCACGATACGCGCGTAGAGAACTAGGAGGGCGTCCAAGAGCAAGAAAGGATCTCGAGAAATCAGCGGAATTGGCAGCGATTTGCCAGATCGAGTACAATTCCAGAGCAGAATCGTCGCTCGTTGCGTCGTACGCGAGCCGCTTCAAAATCGATGAATTACCCTGAGTAAAGCTCGTGCACGTGCAGCAGCGTGCATGTGCGTAGACGTTGGCACCAGCTGCGAGTCAAAGGCTTTGACTCAAAGCACACCGAGGAAGACCAAGCTGGGTTTCGAACCACGGTCAACCGTAGGATTTTCGAGACTGGTCGCAAGCGACGTACAATGAAACGTTGTAGTCGATGGTATAACGCGAAAAGCACTGAAAAACGAAGCAAGGTACGCTGGGACAGCCAGCACCACCCCCGTCTGCGCACCCCCGAAACCGCAACGCGACTACGGCTACTCTGCACTGCGCAACGACCCCTCTGATCAGACGTCTACCCCTTCTACGTAATCCTTCGAAAGTCGTCAGGAAGGTGTCGAGCGGGATTTACGCGGGCAACGATTACTGGCGCCAGTAATCAGTCTTTGACACCGCTTTACTGGCACCGGGATCCTCCACAAACACACTGGACCCTCTAGAGAACAGCGGACCTTTCGACACTGATTTCTCATTGGATCTGAAATATTGGACAATGTTAGGATACGAAAGGTCGTGGTTCTTATATAGATGAGATTGAATTCATAGAAATTGTGGAATCTGGAAAACTCGGAGAAGGAAATCGTGGAGCTTGTAGAATTCGTAGAGCTTGAAGGAATTTGTGAAAAATTCGGGCCGCCTTTTGTAAACTTGGATCAGCTTAAAAGGGCCCCGTTTAGGTCCGTTTGGTCCAGTGTGTCTAGGGAAAAATTCTAGTTCGTTTATGAAGGATTAATAAACTCACGTTATTCGTTGTTGCGTTCCTGTGCTCGCATTCGATGGGCCTGCAAGTGTGCGTACGTCCAACGACGATGTCGTTGGATGTCCTCGAGAACAATACTCGCTTTGTCTCTCCTCAGCGGCTGCTATCAGACTGATCGTTGAAACGGATCGTCAGGATACTAATATTCAGGGGCATAGATATATGAACCCGTGGTCCAGATGCGTTACACCGGGGAGACTCTAAATCACGTGATGCGTCGCATGTTTATAATTATGTAACATATAACCACCCGCTGCAAAATAGATCGGATTAATGACTCGTCGTTGAGCTAGGACAATCCAACAGAGCTGCGCATTCTACGAAACGTGATTTTAACACCTTGTACCGCGGAATATTTGCGAGCGATATTGATATAATACAATGAGATATTTAACTGAATTTTCGTTATTCGGAAAATTCAGTGATGAATTTCTTTATTCTTATTAAAATATTTAAGATAAATGATAGAAATATGCTGTATATTAATACGTATTTGCTAATTATGTATATCTTTTCTTTGTACGTAAAAATAAATAGAGGTCGCAACAATTAAATTGTGTTAGGTACTTAAATCGAGTATCTGCTAAACTATTTGCAATTGTAAGTACGAGAGGCGTTGATTTTATTATCGGGTGCGAGAGAGAAGAACAACCCCCATATAGGCTTCACCAAGATTTATTTTACCTCGACAACCATCGATACTGTCAATTACGGTTCGTTTATCCACGGTGTACCCATCGACTTGAGAATCATTTTTATTATTCTATAGGTCACGTAGTCTTTCGTTCTCGTTCTTCGTGCACCTCTAACCTGACCCTATCGACGTGTGGTGATTCAATGTAAACACAAACACCGCGATCGACCGTGGTTGCCTCGTAAAATTTGAATGGCCGCTCAGACTAAGCTCTTAGAACGAAGTACAAAAGCATTTTCGTACTCTTGTCGGTGTAATTTTGACACTAACCTAATTTGACACTAACCCAGTCATCGACGATATTACTTCCTTTCATTATATAAAATATAATTATATATTCATTTATTTTTAACAAATTGTATGGTCCAAACTTGTTAATATTAGCGTCAAAATAATCATTACATCGCCAGCAAATGAACTACATCGAGAAATTAAGCACGAGTGCCTTGTTCCTCAAGAATTTCATTATAAAATAGATTATTATTATGATAAAAAAATAATAATAGATTATATCACATAAAATTCTGTCCTCTCGTATTATAATTAAAGCAAATAGTAATGCCCAGACGTGTCGATAACTGGGACACTTATCTTACGGGATAATAAAACCAATCGAGATCAAAATAGCTAAAATACGTTGCTTAAGTCTAACGTTTAGGGGATCCATTCAACTTCGTTCGTCTCGTAATCCCTGGTAATGGCAGCTCTGGTGTGCTCTTCCGGTTTGCTGGTGGTCTTCTCTTCTGTTCCTCTCAGCTTGTGGTAAACCTTGCTCCCCGTGGAGGCCACCCATTGGACCCCGTCGCCGAGTTTCTCGCCAGCCTTGCGCACCACGTTGCCAAAGTTCTCAGCGGTGAACGTGCTCGGGTCCACGTTGATGTCCAGGGTGTTGTTGCCTTTCGGGCATCCGTTCTGAACGATGATGCTCAGGTCGTAAGGGTCGACGCCGAAGAGGCTTAATTTCGAACGTATCATGTCCACGTAGCTCTTGTCCAGCTCGGGGCGTCGGGAGAGGATAGTCGCGCTCTGACGGTGGGCGAACGCCAGCTTCTGACAAGTGAAGATGCCCGCGTAGTTCTCGTAATCGGTGGCGAAGATCACGTGGGACGCAGTTCCAGCTACGCCTGAAGATAAATTGCCTAGATTAATTTCTTTGGCACAGTTACAGTGGGCGTAGAATGTATTCGTACACTCATCAATTTCCCAAAAAACTTTTGCATGAACTTGTAGTTTCTTAACTTCTTTTTTTTTTTTTTGTAATCAATGATATTTTACATATTCTCGGAAATCTCTAAGATATAGTCCAAACAATATTTACTAGTTAATATAATTTGTGAAGTTAACAAAAAGAATGCGAAAAGTGGGTAAAAGAATAGAAGCAACAAGTATTTGTTCTATTTAATTTGTTCAAGGTTTATCCCAGTAAGATTCTTATGACTAGACTGCGGATCTATATGCAAAATAAAATCTTCGCGAACGTGCCTACAAAGATCGAACCTACATAGGAATTTATTTTATTCTGCAAATATTACAACATGAACTTTACTGTCATTGTTTATCAAAAATAAGTTAATAAATTACAATTGTACATAGATTTTTCAGAAATTGGTCGGTGTACGAATACTTTCTACACCCACTGTAGCTAGTTTGTGCGTGATTTATACAAGACTGAGACCCCCCCTCCGAGAACAGCCTGCAATTGACTCAAAATTGAACGAACGACGAATTAATTGCTGGTGCGTATATGATTGCAGAAGTTCTCCCCTACGTGACCTGACGTCGAGAAGATCGCAGACGAGCTTAATTTATTTGCATCTAATCACAGCACGACTTTATCGCGATACTTACTGAGAGGAAAACGAACTTGCATTCGGCCTGGCGTGCTCGGTTCCGGAACGGACAATTCACCGGTGTAATGATACTCGTGCTTCAATGGTGTAAGACCTGAGAACATATACATAGCTCTATTACGGATAATTCATCCCACTTGCCAGACAGTTATCCTATTGACATGCTTTTATGAGTACCGATGGGACCCAACGTTCTCCTGCATTCTCCTTTATTAATTTAAAAGCTTCCAGTAATATATGCAACGTCGCGAACGCGATCACAAAAGAAAACCTTGTCGTCCATTGTTCAGGATCTTTGAAAACAACACGTTACATTCCGTGATTTTATTTTTTTAAGCTTCTACGGGAAGGAGGCTAAAGAAATTCTTCTTAGAGACTGTCTGCCGTCTCTTTGTTTAATTATTTTTTCAAGGGACTTTTTTTAGACCTTACCTAGTACCGGGTGATCCGAATCTTGCGTTATCACGTACTCGCCCGGCTCCTCGCCGCGAGTGTAATTGTACGTGATGCATTTGCTGGCTGTGGACGTCTTCTGGATCACGTACCATATACCTAGGAACTGGAATACATAAAATAAATGAGCAATTTAAATACATACAAGACATTTTGCTGAACGTCTGATCTTCTTCGTTTTCAACTTACTCTATTCATTTGGAATCCTTGCATTGGCTCCACAATGGGGCAAGCGCCCATGTGGTAAGTGTGGGCTTTCGCGAAGACGACGCATCCCACCAGTAATAGTAAAGAAGATAAAGTCTTCATCTGCAAACAAAATGCCGATAGTACGTGGATTCAATCGAACACGAAATTACTTCGTACATCTACGTTATCGTTTAGATAATACCAGTTTCCGAGAATAGCGGGAAACCCTAACGCGCAATCTGCATATCAATATTTTTTAAGTCCACCATGAGAAGGAAACATTGCAACACTTTAGCTCCAATTTCCTTATCTTTATTTAAAAATGTTTAGACGTGATATCATCGTTGTTTACTAGAAGATAATTTACTCGAAACAATATTCGTTACAATGCTTCCGTATACGTTGATGAATTAATAGATTATTGAAATTATAAATTAATTTGAATATTTTTATATAGATATCGAGTAAGTAACTAAGTATTTATCTTGCGCAGTTCCTTTATACATAGAGTTCGTATAATAGCATGATTCATTCCTGCTGGATTTCAGATAATGAACAAAAAATTCTATCGGATATCTGGTAATTATTATCCCACTGTTCCACCGAATGAAACAACTCAAAGCGTATACAAGATTAAAGTCAACCTCGACGACCTCGGTTCTTGCCTCGTGAAGGCTTCTATATTTACAGAGTAAGACTCAGCTTTCACACGTTTACCATAAACGAATCGTGGACTATATGCCGTGTGTCACCGAGACGTTAATTAACATAGCGGAAGATGTAGAACCACTTACGCATGGGACACTTTGCAATCTACATTTATGTAACTAAATAACGGGTTAAGTACTCCGTGTGTGTGCATAATGAGGAAGCCGTTATCCGTAACTAAAACCTTCTATACCAAGTTTCGTATCAAAACAGGAATTTCTTTCATAAACTGAGAAGAAAAAAGTACAAAAGAAGTATATGACTTTCCCTCGACTTCTTTAATTTCACTACTAAATACGTTTCATACTACTTAATACGTTTTCTCAAAAATACTTTGTCGTCTCCGAAATCTATTTATTCGGTGCTAGCTTACGAATAAATACAATTAATTGAAATGGTGCTTTGAAGAAGTCACTTTTGATTGTGAGTTGAAGTATATACGCCGGCGTTAAGTACTTATTGAAGTCGATGACTTCTTCGAGTGATGCAGATTCGCACAAAACGCATAAATGAATGGAAATACAGTATACGATATTAAAACGTTTCGCGTTTAAAGCGTCAAAGAAAGTTTACTCACGGCGAAGTGATGTTGTCAGACTCTGAACTGGTACTGTAAACACTAGACTGAATGGAGGATTTTATGAGAGGTGCCCCACTCTAAATCCAATTGCGGGTCACGCACGCTTTGAATGAACTTATACAGCTCCGATCAAACACGTTATCCCCAAAGAATCTAACGAAATTGACTCACCTTTTCTATTGTCTCCTGCTAAACTCTATTTCTTCTTTCGAACTATTAAAACATTAAGCGACTCACAGAACAATAAAAAAAAAAAAACGCAGTATTAGTCATTTGTTACAATTTTCTCACAATACTTGAATTAAGTTAAAGAAACAGAACGAAATAAAAGATCGTAGTTTTATATTTTTCTTTCTAATTGAAGTATTAAGATATTCCTAAAATATTACTTCCTGACACTTTTACGCAATTAAACAATTTTTTCTGTAGCATCCTAATATGAAATATTATAAACTGCCACCTATAGTCTGTAATACATGAAAAAAGAAGATGAGAATTCTTTACAGAAACTGGTTTATTAGTATCAATAGAAAAAGAAAGTGAAGATGCGGGTACCGCGTAATTTCCTTACACTGCTGCCACCGATGAGTCACTTCCATCCATAAGCGAGCTGGTTCTGAGAACAGCTAACATCACGTACGGTTTCATTGTTTTCCACGTATCAATATAACTCAATTTGCGCGGTAGTGGATAGTAGACAACGTCATACTTACAGTAAAGTAGCGGTACAATCTCGTTGAATACAGGGCTAAGATGGTAATACGATTTCTTGAGTACAAATCAGGGAACATTTTCGAATAAAATATCGTCGTTTATTTACGAATAAAAGTACAAAAGATATATTTTAATAAGCGTGTGGATTGTTCAATAATATGTACATGTGGCAGTAGAAAAATATCCTTAGTTGAGTTATTAAT